GATATAATATAGATATATATATATATATTATTATTATTATTATTATTATTGTTATTATTATTATTATTATTTAACAATTTATAAAGAATGATAATTAGCTGTGACAAGTTAGTTTAAATATTTTACATAAAAAATGATAATTACCCACAAAATAGAGTCCGTACGTATGTAAAATGTATATAACTTAAATATCTAGTTGAGGAAATCTGCAAGATGGACAAATAAAATTTAACACCTTTATAATAAAATCTCGTTGCACAACCCACATATCTTAAATTTCATGTCACTACAAGAAAGTAGAGATACGACGACATTTATTTAGTGACATTTGAAATAAATGTCGGAAAAAAGGAAATTTCTGACATTTATGAAAAATTGTCATAAAAATAACGACATTTGATACAAGTGTCACCAAAACAATGACATTTGATAACAAATGTCATAAAAATGGCGACATTTGAGACAAAATGTCATTAAATCTCATTATATTTTTGACATTTATATCAAATGTCATTATTTTAAACCTAAAATCTAAATCTTATTAAATCACATCACTCTTTATACTTCTAGCATGAAAAAAAATTACTGGATGATAAATATTAAATTAGTAATTATATAATGTATAACAAGTAATGAGTTTTGAATGATCTAAAATCACCTTAAACAAAATATTATAGCTAAATAGATATTTTTGCTTCATGTTATACAAATTGAAGCAATAATTGGCTCAATAGTTATATACTTATTGCCACAACAAAATTTCATAACTAATCATCCGTTTAACAACATTTTGAAGTTATTGTAACGATACTAGCCTTGCAGCCAAAAATAATAATACTTGAAATACAATATAATTATAACAAACCATATTACATTGATTCAAGCTAAGTTATAAATAAGCACGTGCATAATAGCTACAAACATATTGTTACAATAAATTTCCTACCTAAGAGGTGTTCGATTAAATTTATAAGTTTGTCAAATTAAACTAACTTATTAACACTTTTTAGTTTATTTACTACGTGTTTGGTTAATTTCAAAGTACTTATAAATCAAAATCAGCCAAAAAATCATAAGATGTTCAACCACAATTTAAAGTTTTTCAATTTATAAGTACTTTGAGTTTGATTAAATATTTTACTATTTTATCCTTAATATGTTTTCTATTTCTCAAAATATCTTTCCGAAAGCAAAACTATTAACTTTTTCTTCACTTTGTACATGTTGTTTCTCTTTTTCTTTACACAAATACTTTTGAACTTATATTTTTTTTATTACAAAAAAATCAAGAATATCTTAGTCATTCTAATAAAACAACATCTTACTAACACTCTTTTATCAAATACATTAATTATTTATCATGAACATCAACGCTTCTATCCAAAAATTTCATTAAGTTGTAACTACTTATTTATAAAATTGCTTCTAGCACTAAAAATACTTTTATCACTTAAAGCTTATCAATTATTTACAATCAACTAATCTGAACATGTTCTAAGGATACTATTTTTGACATTTATATTTTAGGATTTTTTTTTCCATGAAAATAGTTGCTTTATTTTATTCTATTCAATGTAAATCATATATGTATCATTTCAAATTTTTTTATAGCTAATAATATAGCAATTGTTATTAACTATGACTACATTTATTTATAATTATACTTAATACTTAATTGTATATAAGAAACTACAAAGTTTTTTTTTTTTAAAAAAATAAATTATTGTCAATTAATGGGCCCAAGCGGCCAAAATAATATTCCAAAACCTAGTCCTCCCTCATTAAAAGTTATTATATACTCTCCAGCCGTCACACAACTCATTCACTATTTGTATTTTTCTTCTCTTTTTTTTCTTTAGATTGTATAGTTATAATCTACAACTTGTAGAGCATTGAAGTGAATTAGTGATTTATCTTCTTTTTTTTATGTATAAAATGTTTGATCTTTTAATATTTGCATCTGTTAATACTTCTAAACACTTTTTTCCTTTATCATGATATTGTATAGTTATATTTTTTACTATCTGGTCTTCTTGTGCAGCATTTTTTTTTGAAGAAAATGAGATCAATTACTGACAACGGAATGCTTGATTTGTGAAGAAATCGTTTTGCAAAGCTTCATTACTTCAACAACTATGGAAACTAATTTGAATTAGGATTGATCTTTATGTAGTTAGATGTTGAAATTATTGCCTTTTGATATACTTTGATTTGAATTTTATTTGAGTGAGAACAAATCATTTGATTTATTATTAAATTGGTGAAAGTATTTATTGTATATTACTGTTACTTTGTTCTTTGGTTACAATATTAAAAGACATGTACTTTTACATATATTTCGTGTTCATAAAAAATTATATACATGAATGTGCAGATTAATATAATTATATGTTTACTCAATAGATGATTATTAGTTTTTGAATAAATTTGGCACCTAGAATAATGAAATGCCGGAAATGTTAATGCAACATTTGTAAAAGTCCTTTTAAAATGTCACTAATTTTTTTGACATTCACGTAAACATAAATGTGGATCCGACATTTCATAAATGATGTAAATTTATGTTATTTATATTGACTAAAATAACAAATTCTAATGTGACATTTTCAAGGTCATAAGTAAATGTCTTAATTTTTTTAAATATATTTATGTAAATGTCAAAAAAAATAAGTGACATTTTATATATACTGAATAGAAATGTCATTTATTTCTTATCGACATTTATCTAAATGTCAAAAAATCTAAGTGACATTTTTATATATGTCATAAATAAATGTCGTTTATTTGTTACCGACATTTATCTTAATGTCGGAAAATTCCCGACACACAAATTTCCGACATTTGATTCAAATGTAAATTAAATGTCGGTAAATGAATATATGACATTTAAACATACTAATACGACATTTATATAATGTCGTCGTACCTCTGTTTTCTTGTAGTGGTGGGAGCTAGAGTTGAGCCAGAAGTTCACAGGAAATTTCTCAGAAATTTAAAAAAGAGAAGAAAAATGATCGTCTTGGTTGTATCATCATGTATACAAGATACAGTTTGAATCTTTGATGATCATGCCATAATGCAAAACATGTACAATCGTCAATCTAGTCATATGTTGACTTTAGGGTTATATAATGATGATATAAACGTGTCTTGTTATATGAAATAATGGCTAATTAGTATGAGAAATTATTTATTGAATCTTCTGTTTTAATGCACTACACGTCTCTACTATTGCAAGTTGACTTTGAGTAACTACCTTTCAGAATATCATTTTCTTTTTGTTCATTTTCTAAATTAACAGCAAGTCTTATATATGACCTTGGGCATTTTCCTAGCATAGAGATAAAGATTGATTCTGAAGAGAATACTTGAAGAGCGAAATCAAATACGAGGATAGTCTAAATAATAATACAGTAAATCAGTGCAATTTCACGGTTGCTTTCGAAAGATAATAGACTCAACTGCAACAAATCAAAAAAGGATAGTATGAATATCTATGACAAATATGAAAAAACTAAAATGCAAATCAAACAAATAATATTGAAAAGGGACGTTATACTAATCCTCCTCCCAAGATGTAACTAGCTACCAAACTTGCATAGTGGCATATGAATACATAAACAACTTGGAATAAAATGGTCTAGGAAACTTGCAATAACTTGACTACTCATTTGAAAATTCATATTCTATTTTACCCCCTTAATTTTGTCTATTTCTGTGATATTGATGATACTCTTAAAAATTGTATAATGTGAAAAAGGACACTTATGACCATAGTTAAGCTGAATAATCTCTCATTGATTGTTTTTTCCAAGTCAAAGATGCCATCCACTCTGTACATGTCACACAAAAATCCTTTTCCTACATATATATAAAAGAACTCATTGATATTTCTTCATCATATACTAAGGGATAATTGTCAAATTTTTGGATAACAATGGGGAGAGTTGAAGCAAACAATGAAGAAGAAACCTCTCAGGCAGAGAGTGGTACTGAACCAGCTGCCTCACAACCTCAACAGTTACAAGGAGTACAAGGTGTATATCAGTCACCACCACACTTAACAATTGGAGCTCCTTGGAGTACTGGCTTATTTGATTGTCATCTGGACCAAACTAATGGTAAATTAAGTTTTTCCTTCTTTTCCTTGCTAATAGTTTATTTTAGTATCAACTACTTATGTGTTACTATTCATTGTTACGTGTCCTATCTGTGTGGGATGAGTTAGTTGGTCTCTTGTTAAATGTTTTATGGCAATCCTCACCTATTGAGTTAGCTTTTGAGGTTGAGTGAGGCCGAATGTCCATTTATTTTTCATGGTATCAAAGATAGACTCATCCCAATTCTTGGTTTACTCGATATTGTTTGGCCTTTATGTTATATTGTTCACACTTTAGATGTCCAGTCCTGGGCGTGGGGTATTGGACAGTCATCACCTCTTGAGCTAGCTTTTGAGATTGAGTTAGGCCCAAAATTCATTGTTTTATCACGGTACCAAAGTCAAGCTCATCTGAATTCTTGGTTTACCATGTTGTGTGGGGGTATTGGAATCCCAACATCTTCACATTTACTGACTTAAAATCCTTGATCCACTTTCTAAAAATTACTTTCTTGTTTGTTTATGCAGCTGTTATGACGGCGTTCTTACCTTGTGTAACATTTGGACAAATAGCAGAAGTCCTTGATGCAGGACAAATGAGTAAGTTTCCTAGTCGACCCATCTTACTTTTTTATTATTATCCGTTTACAGAAGTTAAATCTTTGAAAAAACTATGCATATTTGTTAGCTTGTGCTATGAACTAATACCAAAGTTTGTTTTTTTGTGTTTTGGTGATTAATGCAGCATGCCCTTTAGGGACTTTCATATACATGCTGATGATGCCTGCTATTTGCTCTCAGTGGATCATGGGCTCAAAATATAGAACCCAATTGAGACAAAGATATAATCTAGTGGAAGCTCCTTATTCAGACATGATTTCCCATATGTTCTGTCCATGTTGCTCTCTTTGTCAAGAATTCAGAGAGCTTCGAAACAGGGGACTTGATCCCGCTCTAGGTATGTCACACTTGGTTACAATTAATATTGTACTGTGTGTCTCGTTCATCTAAAAGCTTAAAACTAATAGATGACGATGAGACTCTTAAGTCACGAATATCTTAACATTGTTCCAATAAAATGTTGTACAGGGTGGAATGGTATAGTTGCTCAGCAGCACTATGGGAACCAACAAGTGAATCAAGCTCCTCAAGTACAATCCATGTCAAAGTAAATTTCAAGATTGTGATTCTTTATTTGTTTGATTTGAGGTTGTAGTGTGCTAGTCATTTTTTTTGCAACAACCAGATTCTGTTCATGTTTGAAGTTGTATCCTTAAAACTCAACCATATTGTTGGCTGTGTTAATTGTTTGAACTATATTTTTAGAACCCCATTTCGAGTTAGATTATAGTTTTAATCGAAGCAATGTCTCTTCTCTATGTGCTTGCTATACATAACAGCATCAACCCCAAACTAATTAAAATCGTTAATAAGAATCCTGTAGGATCATTATGCTCTATGTGAACACATTTTATTCCAAATAATATGACTAACAAAACAAAATATGAGTTCACTACGTAGAATTAAAAACAATCCAACAAGAACAAAAAAAAAGAAAAAGAGTTTCATACTTCCATTGCAATGGACTAATGAAGATTTAGCATCTATTGGATGGGCCGGGTTAATTTCATGCCTAATCTTATCTTTACACAAATAGCCGCACGTTTATCTTTTTTTAAAAGGTACTATTTCTTTTTAATTTATGCGTAGGTGGACGACTATTTAGATTAATTATTGGGCAAATTACAGAAATCACATACTTTTAAGGCAAAATTACAATCTATCCCTTAAAAGTTTATAATTATAGAAATCCCTCAAACGGATACAATAATATAAGCGCTGATACATTAATCTGATGCGCGAGATACATTAATTGTTAAGTAAGATACATTACATTTTATACATGATACACTAATCTGATGCGCGAGATACAATAATATAAGCGCTGATACATTAATTTGATGCGCAAGATACACTAATCTGATGCGCGAAAATGAGGTATTTTGGAGATTTGTAAAACCTATAGGAGATAATGGTAATAAGTAAACTAAAATGTGGGATTTCTGTAATTTTTCCTTAATAAGAGTTGTTACGGAAGTACTAAGTTATTGTGAAACAAGTTGGGCCCCTAACTTGGGCCGTCATATTTTTCTTGTCGGCCTTCTTTTACTTTATTTTTGGACCTTTATTTTTCGTCTTCAACATTGTCATTTCCTAAAATTTGTTTGTTTATAATGGATGAAAAGAAAAAGGCAAAATTCCATAAGTAGCATTATTAGCATCCATTTTTACAATATATAGTGAGTTTTTGTTTACTTTTACATAAACAGATTTATGTATATTGTATATCAGCTATTAAAATAGATAATATTGCTATGCTTTGTAATTTTCTAAAAGTACCATTATATAAAGTGATGAAGGTCCGCAACTGCTACATCAAGTAATTTTCTCAAACAAAAATAATCTAGCTGGCTATTTAGAATTTAAACTATAAAAGAGTAACAAGGAGGCCAAAAACTCTATTCATATAAAGTTTCCTTTGATGAGAAATGCGAAACAAAAAAGAAAAAAAAAAGATCCCCCGTTGGGAATTAAATTATGCTCCCTGCCCCCCTTTCACAGAAAATGGAGAGATGAATATATTTATTGAATCCGTCGGGACTGACGGGGCTCGAACCCGAGAAAATTATATGAAATAACAAACTATTAATTCAAATTAAATGCTATAGCTATAGTTTTTTTTATTTGTAATTCGCAGCAAATATTCCATATTTTTTGTCATCCCATTTGTATACCGAAATATACAAATGTAGGACCCATTTATATACTGAAATATACAAATAGACTCAAATACATATTTTTTATGTATATGTATACCAAAATATACAAATTAATAGTCATAGCAAACATAAAGTTTGCTATGGAGCGCAATTATACAAACTATAGCTATAACATACAAATATGATTTTTATGTTTGCTAAACCTAAAATTTACCCAAACAAACTATAGTATAGTCAAACATATAATTAGTTATTAGTCGGATCATTTCTCTTAATTAGTCCAATCACGATTTAGATATGTTTCATTCACTTCATTTAACCTATCTTTAATTAGTGAAATTAACCTAACCACTTACTAGTGAAATTTTGCTCAATTTTTTTTGGATATTCTAAATCACGTTTTTTTCCTCCTAATCTTTTAAGATATTTCTATAATTGGGTTTCCAGCTACTGACTGACAATAGACAGGTCCATTATCATCATTATACCCCAAACAAACAAACAAAATAAGGAATAAAGTTAGAATGAATGTATTTTGTTTGATATAGTACCATAAAAGGTAGAAAAAACTAGTAGTACTTGTCTCAATTCAATACTTGTTGGGGTCTATTACATATATATATATATATATATATATATGCTATTATTAAGAGAATATGTTATAGTTAGACTTTTCTTTTATTAAGTACAAAAATCTAATGACTTCCAGGTAAGTTTAAAACCTTTTACTAGTAGAAAATCGTTTTTTTCTTCTTCTTAGAATTATTAGTATTCTCGCTTCTAATATCTCATGTCTTCTAGTCTTGTCACAAAAAACCTTCCGTGTGTGTATTTATGTAGATGCATAATTCTTTTTTCACTCAAAACCTGTCTATATAGATATAGAACTTCGAATCAACAACAATTTGAAAGTTACTTTTCCCGGCCTAGTTTCTCACCATGGTAACTAAATATTTTCAGCATCAACAATAAAACCTAGCTATGTGTCTTTGTGATCTTGCTGTACATAAAGATGACGTTTTGTTCGTTATGAACTAAAAAGTGATTGGCTGACTAGTAAACGTTAGGCCGCCTAGCCACTTGCAAATAAAAGGTTGGGGAATGGACAGGGACAGGTATATAACTTGCTAAGGGAAATTGAAATTGGCCACAACAACAAGGGTGGATTCACAATGTGTTATATGTAACATGAATGAAGTAGTTTTTGTCAAAAAAATTTATATTAATATTAAGAAGTTTATTAAATATTTATTAGTAAATTTAATTATTATTATTATATAATAATAACTTCATGAAAATTCTATAGAAATTCATAAATTTAAAATCATGAATCGAGATTCAGCTATCGCGAGTCCATTCTAAACTGTCACTATCTAGCTTTGAAAACGAATTCAAATATATTGTTGGTCCTTTTTAAAAAGCACAAGTAGACAACATAATGCTACTGTTTTTATTAATTTAATATTTTGTTTAATATGTTTTGGCTTGATCATGAATTGATGATTGTATTGAACCAACTTTAATCATATACATTTTTGTTTTCTTTTCATTGTTTAATTTGTTAATCATCTTAAATAATAATATTGTCAAAGCCTCAAATCTTTTAACCACATTTCACTTTTTTGGATGTCCCAAGACACTATTGACATTAAATAATGAATGCATAATTGCTTCTTGACTTTCTTACATAGCAATTAACACACAAGTACATATATCCCAGCACGAATCTTAATTTATTGTCAACTTTTATAAAAGGATAAAATTGAGAATTAAATAATTTCCTATCATCGTGTCATATATGTATTTTATTGAAATTTCAAACAGAAATTATTGGATAGAGAGGAACTAATAATAGTTTCTTTATTTTAAAATTGTTTACCTTTTGTTAGTGGAAAACGAAAGTGGAATGACCTAGGCAATTACAAAGTTCATTAGTCGAGGATAGATCCTTAATTCCGCCGCCCTCACAATATATAAATTATTTAAAAAAGAAATTACTGTTAATTTCGTGGCAATTAATAATTAGTGTGTGATTTAATTAATTAGATGATTCTTTACTATACACTGATCTAATACAAATTTAACATTCATCATTCCATTTCAACTTGTAGCCGAAGGTAGACGTTTTTCAGAGGTAGAATCTTCTAGTTCTTTCTATTGGAAGGAAAGGTTTCTCGGTAGAAGAAAGGAATAACAGCTATTCCTAAATTTTTTTATGGAAAATCTAGTAACAAGAAGATTTAATAAAAAATATCAACAAATTCTTATGGAGTCCAAAAACACAAAATTGAGCCAAAACATTTAATTAAGTCAAACCGAACAAGAAAAAATGGAAAATATTTTCCTCTACCGAACACAACCATAATCTCATCATGTTCATCAAACTATTATTCACTTGTGGTAATTTGAGCGATCATACGTGCAATCTTGACTCAAAAGTGAAATATAATCTTGACCTAAAATCGGAAGCTTAATTATTTACTCTCTCCGTCCATTTTTAGTTGTCATGGTTTCCTTTTTTATAGTCAATCTATAAGAATTTTGACAAACATTTTACGGTGTATTTTTTCACCAAATTGATATGCAAAAATTGCAATTTATAGTACTTTTCATATAGTTTTTAAATATCTACATTTTTTTGCTTAATATCTTCCTAACGATAGTCCCAAATAAATTTCTCGATCATAAAAAAAAAAAACTAAGAGTAACGAATTTAAAGATATTGCAAGAAAGATAAAATTTCTGAAACGATATGTTGATTGTACCTATGGATTTCCAAGTTACATATACAACACTTATGAACTACCTAGTAAGGTAGTATGATTATTCATGAAATTCAAGAAAATAGGACCATATTGTACATTGGACAATACCACTTTATCTTTGACCCGATTTCAAATGCAAAATAGCATCACAAACAGTCAGCTCTGATGACTTCCATACTGAGAATGACTGCTTTGTGATGTTATATCATTCATTCCATGAGGACACAGAGGCTCCGATCCGTCTTATCATCAGTTTGTTGACGTCTCGGTATTTTTATACTGTCAGTGTATATAACTTAAATCCAATCAGAATAAACACTTGTAACATCAAAATCCTCCTCCGAGAGCTGGAGCCCAGTAATCGGCGCCGGTGTCACTTCCTATATTTGCCATGCAAGAAATAGGAACCAAGCACAACCCTCTACTCCTTAAATCCATCGCTTTGTGCTGAGAATCCTATAGAGAATGAAAATTAAAATCAGGTCACTTAGCTTAAAAGATAATTAGAGGAAACTCAATTTAGTACGTAGCATTGATTAGTAACGTCGTAGAACAAATGATAAGTAACCTGCTATAACATGTTAAATTATCCTGATGGTGTAAAACTTAATATATTTGCTAATTGTGACACTAGTAATGGGGCATGCATGCATTGAATAGAATTATACCGTACCTGCTTATTTGCTGGCCTCCTTTGCAGAAAATTACCATCCAAAAACTAGATGAAAAGGAATTAGAATTCAAATCAGTATCTACGGACAAGAAAGTTATAATGGATCTAAATTCAAAACTTTAGCCCCTTTCTTGGCTATTAAGCTACTCCTTCGTTTCT